TACATCCTTTTGTGGCGGTAAGGCCTATCCAGTATGGTAGAACTGCACTACGAGGACACCCAATTCAATTATATGTGTGACTAGCTCAGAAAGGCTAAAACGCAACTGCCCACTTTGATCCTCTGTCGACAGTGAAAACTGCAATTTGGGATGGGTGCCAATGACAAAATACTAGAGAATATGAAGAACCTTTGCCCATTGGCATTATCTGGGAGCAGCTTACATGGAGCCAGCAATGCTTTTCTGGACCCAGTAGTAAAGGAAGGTTTCATGTGACATTATTCAAGGGCTTATCATCTGGCTTTACCTCCCAGTTCCCTGGCTAGGTTGAAGGAGGCAGGCTGCAGCAGGAAAAGACCAGCAGGACCCTGGACCTAGGAGCAATGCAAGGGGCAGATGAACTAGTTTCAGTTCATCTGCCCCTCTCCATCTCCAAGCGCCAGTGACATGTTGTGTGCCACACAGAGGGGAACGATGCTCAAAAGTGCTGGAACACCCCATCAAGAATTCAGACTAGCAGACCCACCCTGAAATCCAAGCCCTTTCAAGCGGAGAACTGTGAATTCTCACATCAAATGCTGGAGACAGCACCCCCACCAGTACCTCTCAATCTCTGGGACACCCCCTGCTGCCACTCAAAACATCAGTTCAGCTGCCAGATCTCCATGACAACCATGGACAGTCAGGGCAAACATCAAACAGGACAGGAATAGGTCAAGTTACCGTCATTACCCAAGCAACAACTGATATCTCCTCCCTTTCTAAGAAGCAGGGGGTGACAGTGGCAGAAGCCAGGGCTCTTGACAGTAACGTGGTAAGCACTGAAGGGTAGAAAGGCACACCTTATTTCTTCCTCCCCTCCTCTTTGAGCATTTTTGCAGGTGAAGCTAAGAACTGTTTTTAAGTCTTATACTACTTGTAATGAAGACTCGTTTTAAATCTGAGGGCCCAGTTGTAAGGTGAATTAACACACAAAGTATAAATGTTCTCAACCAAATGCCAAGCACACAGTGAAGAGTTCTGCTCAACTGTGAATGAATGGTACCTTGAAGAGATGTTTTAGCTTCATTACAGGAAGTGATGCCCCTCAGGAAGTGATGCACCTGGGGTTAAGAACTTAAGAAGAGCCCTGCTTGGCCAGACCAGTAGCCTACCTCGCTGAGAATTTTGTTCCTATGGTGGCCAACCAGATGCCTAGAAGCAGCTCACAAGCAGAACATGTGGAGTGCAATAGTGCTGCCACCAACTAGTATTCAGAGGCATAATGACTCCAATATTGTATGCAATATACAGTGGAACCTCGGGTTAAGAACTTAATTCGTTCTGGAGGTCCGTTCTTAACCTGAAACTGTTCTTAACCTGAGGTACCACTTTAGCTAATGGAGCCTCCCACTGCCGCCGTGCCGCCGCCGTGCGATTTCTGTTCTCATCCTGAAGCAAAGTTCTTAACCCGAGGTACTATTTCTGAGTTAACAGAGTCTGTAACCTGAAGTGTCTGTAACCTGAAGCATCTGTAACCCGAGGTACCACTGTATAGCCATCATGACTAACAGCCACTGATTGCACCCTTGATGACATGGCCTCTTTTGAGTTATTAAAAAAGGCGAGAGGTGGCTGGGGGATGGCCATGCCAGTTGAGGAAAATGGGAAACAGGCTCCTGGGTCCTCCCTCTGCTGACAAGAACTGGGTTGTCATGTTAACTACCGCTACTCTGCAGAGATGATAATCAGATGGTTTTCTTGTGCAGCTGGAATATATATATATATATATATATGCAGGTTTTGGTGTCCTCGGGTGTCTTCCCGTGTAAAAGTTGGGGTGTCTAGGCGACGTTTCGACGAGGTCTCACTCGTCATCTTCAGGCTGGTGCTTTCGGCTTCTTGTTACTGGAACAGAGCAGGATCTCAGTGTTTGAGTTCCTATAAATACTGTTGAGGGGGTGTGGTGTATAGCCTCCAATGTTCTGGGCAGAGAGGAAGTTCCCAGGCTAGTGTGCCTTTTCTTCTTTTGTTCCTTAATTACTTGAGGGATATCTTGAGTGATTTCTTGAGTGATATCCTGAGTACCACTTAGGTGGGTCATTAGGTGTGGATTAGTTGCTAAAGCCTTCGTGTCTTGACCTCTTGAACTTTGTGAAGAGTTTTTCTGAGAAGATGGCTGTACTGCACTTAGTTGTGCTCTGGCTTGGCTTCGTGTATAGGGGCGAGCTGTGGTTTTGTGTCCTGTGCTAGCCAGATCTGTGTAGGGATTGCAGGGGGGTGCAGCATCCGGAGGTTCCACCATGGTTTGGCTACTGGATGGTGTCTGTAATTTATCTGTGGAGAGGGTCTGGGTTTGGGTCTGGTGTGGTTGATTGGTGATGGCGTTCTGTGTGCCTCTGGATCTGGTGTCGGTTTTTGTGGGGAGGGCTAATTTCCAGATGTCTGGCAGGCGGGATGTGTCGTCACGCTTGTTCATGTTGTGAGGGTGTTTCTCTATCTCGATGGCTTCCATGATTATTCTCTTGTGGTGATGTTCCATGTTAGAGAGCAATTTGGAATCTGCAAAATTAATTTCGTGTCCTGTTTCTTTCATGTGTTGGAAAAGAGAGGAAGTTTTTTCTTCGTTTTTGACGGCATTCTTGTGTTCTGCGATACGTGCATTTATTCGTCTGTTTGTTTGTCCAATGTACGTGGCTGGGCAGACTTTGCAGGGTATTTCATAGACCCCTTGGTTTTCCAACTGGATTTTATCCTTGGGGTTTCTGAAGGGAAGACACCCGAGGACACCAAAACCTGCATTCCTGTACCCGTGAAAATCTACGAAAGCATATATATATATATATATATATATTAATCTTTAAAAATCCATTTTACATGCATTTTTCACAAACTGCTCTGGAAACCGCAATGGGCAGATTTAAACAAAAATAATCAACTTTTTAAAATGTGTGTCTTTCCCCCATGCTTCAGTTCCAACCTTTGAGTGAGAGGTTAAATCCATTTGGGCTGTGTCAGTGGCAGCACCCATACTAGAAGCAGTTGTCATCTAAAATGTCCTTGAAACTGATCGCTCTGGGCGGGAGGGGATTGGAAAGGTGGGAGAGGCCTCCAGTGGACCTTCGAGAGAGAAAGGGGGACCGATATCTCTCTAAAGGTCTGTTCAATGAAAAGATGGACTGATTCCCCAAGTGTAACAATCCCAATGGGAAATTCTATTTCCGGGACCGTCTCCCATCGTTGTAGGGTGATTGGCAGCAGCTGCTGCAGCCCCTCCCTAGACACCCACACGAGAAGGCCAGGGTGGTCACGGCAGCAGCTATTCTGAGCGCAGGCAACGACAGAGGGGCTGCCAAAAACAGATCATCCCACCCTCACTATCTACGGCTGTTTCCCATCTGTCACTGGTCCAGAATCATCTACAGGCACTATCACCACCCCACGTTGCGATTGTCTGAAGAAACTAAGTTATCAAAAAAAGAAAAAAGGGAGTGTGTGCAGGGGGAGACACTTCAGAGCTTTAACACGCCTGGAATAAAATAAGCAGCCTCCATTCTAATCTATGGACTTGGTGAAATGAAGAGCACCCGCTACAGTCAATAGGAAGGCAATGCCCTGAAATAGGGGATGAGCCTGAAAAAATCAAGTGGCAACTCCGACTGCTTATGTGACAATCCCACATAATATATTAAGCAACCTGCTTCCCCAGGCCATTGACTCACAACTTCCCCCTGCTCCCCCCATAGGCAATATGCTTCCAGGAGTTCTATACACCGTTCCCCTAAAAATATATATATCATTGTTTCATTTTGCTAATGCGTCACTGCCTGCTGGCTGCGGCTGCTTCACCGCCTGATGTCTGTCAACATGAGGAGAGAAAATGTGGTTGACACCCCGCCTTCCCAGACATAATGTGGAATGAATGACAGATATGAAATCTGTATAATTTCTCCCCTCTTGCCAACTACTCACCCTGTGCATAGCCTGCCTCTTGTACTAACTGGGGCAGTGGGGGAGCATTAAACTCACCTGCCATTGATAGCCTAGTACTCAGTAGTACAGCTAGTTCATTTTAGAGCTTTGGTATCATAATGGAGTTACAGAAAGGGGGGGCTCCTTTAGAGGGCCATGTGTGTTACTTCAAATATGAAGCACACAATTAACATTTCCCCTCTCTTCGCCACCATTCCCTGCATTACTAATGCTTCCACATTCCCAGTGCGCTGGCACAAAAATGTTTTGCCAACCCTCTTCTATCTATCAATTCATAGCGCCATAAACAGGAGCAAAAGGGGATTGCTTCTGTTGTCTTGGTGGTAAACACATTTACTTGGGAATAAGCCCCATTTTGTTGTAGAAAAGGATATTCCCTCTCTTCCTTTCTGAATGAACAACATTTTTCAAAGTAAAAATAATGAAATTACCGCCTATAGTCATGTAGATGCCTGGACAGCCAGTCCAGTTTATAAAACGTTATTAAGAAAAAAATGATTCTGCAGAGCATCATTCCTGGCAGGTCCCATTATGCCTAGAATCATAGAATCATAGAATCATAGAGTTGGAATAGACCACAAGGGCCATCGAGTCCAACCCCCTGCCAAGCAGGAAACACCATCAGAGCACTCCTGACATATGGTTGTCAAGCCTCTGCTTAAAGACCTCCAAAGAAGGAGACTCCACCACACTCCTTGGCCTGTGCTGGTGTAGATGCTGATAGGAAGCCTGCTTGGCACTGTGCCCATCCTTTGCCACTCTCTGCCTGGACTTTGGCCTCAAGGTCCAGCTCTAACTGCCCCACTACTGGCACTAAAAGCCTCCATCTGTCCTTGCAGCTTCTACATATCTGAGGGGCACACATCCTTCCCTTCTCATCTCAAATAGCATTGCTGAGCCCTGCAGATGCTTCTCTGCCTGCCGAAACCTTGACTCCCACCACACCTTGCAAATCTTCCATGGAATGAATGGTTTTTCTCTCAGACCAGACCCATCCAGGTTTCCCTGGAAGAAACATTCCTAAGACCTGTCAGAAATATTTAGGATTTATTGATATCTTGAAGCTGTTGGAGAAAGCAGATTAGAGCTGTTTAAAGTGCCTTAAAGCACAGAGGAAGTGGGGTTTGATATATAAAGTAAAAGCAAATAGTTGCACTGAGGAAATACAAGCTGTAGATCACCACAGATCAGAGAATCTGGTCCAAATGGAGTAATTTCTGCTACTTCGATCACGCCTGGCTGTGACAGCATAAGGCAGCAGGTAGAAAAGGCAGTGTTGAGAGCATTTCTTCTGTAAAGGGCCACATTCCCTTAGGGGTAATCTTTTGAAGGCCATACCAGCAAGACGCAGGGCCAGAACCACGCCATAGTCCTCCTCTCTCATCCATGTACAAACACCCACTCACCATTCATTCTCTCACACACCCAGGCAACAATTATTATGGAATTATATTTTTAAATAGCGTCCATCTGGGACCAAAAACGGAACCCAACCCTTCCTCATCATGGGAGGTGGCTGATGGGAGTTGTAGTCCAAAACCTCTGGTGGGCATCAGTTTGGGGGAAGACTGTGTCAAACCATAGGGACGTCACTCGCACAAGTGCCTCACTGTGTGGAGTTCCATGTTGCCTACTTGCACTGAAGGCCCCTGTTTCTATGGCTGCTTGCTTGTAGAAAATGAACCTCTATGTCAAGTGGCAGACAGTCAGAATTAAAGATCTGTTTCAGCAGTGGAGTTTCTCTGTGGATTCTCCCAAGGATCTTCACTGGGATTGGCGCTGTTTAGTTTGTTCATAAAAGATCTGGAGTCAAGAGGTGCTATTGGTGAGGTGACCCACTTTGTGGATGACATCCAATTCTCCAGGGTGCTGAAATCCTAAGCAGAATTCAAAGAGATTTAAATGTACCCCTCCAAGCAGTGTGATAAGGCAGCTAAACATCCCATGAGAGTCAATAATAAAGTGAGGATCCTGTTCCTTCTTGGCTTCTGACCACTTGGTTAATATTATTGATATTATGATATATTTATTTATACCCTGATGGGACTCAAGGCAGCTTACAGATAAGAACAAGAACTGGTACAAACATAAGATAAAAACAGTTATTTTAAAACAATTAAACATGGATAGAATTATATACATGTATTAAAGCTATATGCTTTGTTACTCAAAACAAGGCAGCTGGTGTTACCCAAGGACCTAGGCATTAGCCTGAAGAGCCAAAAGGTTTCAATGTCCCATCCCTGGCCATATTCCCTGATGGGGCTTCCTCTGCCTCATTCAAGCTGTATGCATAAGATCAGAGAGAAACACGGGACATCACTTGCCTCCTTTTCAGCTTCTGACTCCCGCTCCTTTTACAGACATGAAACTCCAAAGAAAATTTCCCTAAGTTGGAAGTGTCTCTGCTGCCTTGCTCCCTTGCACTCATTGTCTAAATATGAGATTGTTTGGGGCTAGGCTAGGCCAAGCAGGCAACGTAGAACATGGCCTGGCCATTCTTCCCTGTTGGGATAGTCATAAAGGATACCAACCCCACATAGAGCTAAGTGAATGAAAGCAGTAACCACCTTGGAGGAGCCAATAAACACAGTCGTTGAGGAGTGACGTGGGAAAGGCATGCTATAGTCCTGGTTTAGAAAAGGATGGTGGCACCGAATATTGTACAGATTCTAAAGGCAGTTGCGTTCCCCCCTCCCCAATAGTTTCTGCGATTGTAACCTTTTATGTTGTGCATTGCTTTGAACTATTTGGGAAATGTGTGCATTTTATACAAATCAGATTTATATTACTGTACTTGGTTTGATGCCAGACTCTCAGTATTTTGTAGGAGGGGAGCTAATGCATATTGGGAGATTTAGCTTTTCACAACTGAAGTGAATTAAAGCACTCTCTCTCCCTGGCACAACAAATACACTTAGGAAAACGATAAGGTAATGCACTGAAAAGTATGGGGTGAACAGAAGAGAACCAGGAAGACATATAACCACCACGGCACAAACAAATCAGGAAAAATGCTCATTTTCATATAACCTCCCTGCAAACAAATCAGAATGAATTCATAATGATGATCAGACTTCTTTGTATAAGCAAATCAGGATGAATGCTCAATAAACAGGTCATCTGGGGGAGCCCATTGTCACTTCTATATTCTTTGCACATTAAACAGTTCATACAAGTGGCCTAAATCACAGAAGATGTTGCAATGTGAAATACTGCAGCAGCAGGGTCTGTAGAAGGGTGTAGCAGCTGCTGCCAGAGATTGCAGCAGGACCCCCAAGTTCCACTGCTTATGAGAGTGAGTGCTTGAGTAACCACTAGAGTGAACAGCTAGATGCACACACAAAATCAGAGAAATGTTTCATAAGAGACTCATTCTTATTCTCTGCCCTGCACAGATGAAACAACACTTTAGTTGGATGCTGCCAGGGACTCCCTCTTCTTCCTTGTATGTGAATATTATCAGGAACTTGCCAAGGGGCAACTTGGTTGTGTAGGAAGTCCTTTTATATATTTCTCACATCACATTTGTATCCTCCAATGAGCTCATGGCAGGATGGGTTGTCCCATTTTATCCACAGGGGGAATATTTGGGATTGCCATACGCCCGGAAATTCCCAGACATATCCGGAATACCGCAGTGAGAAACAGGGTCTGGGAAAATCCGGACGTATGGCAACCCATGTTGGCAGTGTAGTTTTTGGTGATTTCCCATAAAAATAGCTCAAATAAATATGAAGTATTTATTTTGCGCACGTACACACACACACACACACACACACACACACACACAGGGTTTCAGCTGTTTTAAGCATACTTTCTCTTACATTCATATGCTGGCGATGACTCTCCCTCCAGATGGCTCCCTTCCTGGTGCACCCATCCATCCACATTGGGGGAGAGCGGAGATGGAATGATGGGAGTCAGGAGAAGTGACGAGAGTGTAATTAGGGCCCAATTTGGGTCTGTCTTAGGGGAGAAATCAATTGTCTTGAGTACATAGAATAGGTTTCTGTCTGGCAGGAAGATAGAGAAATCTTGCAACAGTTAACACCACAATAGCCCATCTCCCAACTTCCAAAAGACATCAAGCCATCTTCTTGATGGAGGTGACTGACTTGTGACTGGCTGGCCACAGTCACCTGTCAATCAAGGCACAGCTGGGTCAGATACTCTAAAAGATGGCTGTTGCCCAACAGTTCTATGTCCCTCAAATTCCCCCTCCCTCATTGACCATCTACACCGATGCACATGAGGAGACCAGAAGCCTATTTGTAAGTAGCTGCATTAGACTTGAAATGAAACAATTTCTTTCTTTTTAAAACAAAAAAATTCCTTCCAGTAGCACCTTAAAGACCAACTAAGTTAGTTCTTGGTATGAGCTTTCGTGTGCATGCACACTTCTTCAGATACAGTGTGCATGCACATGAAAGCTCATACCAAGAACTAACTTAGTTGGTCTTTAAGGTGCTACTGGAAGGATTTTTTTTTTGTTTTGACTATGGCAGACCAGCACGGCTACCTATCTGTAACTTTCTTTTTAAAGTACCATTCTGCTTTTACCTGTGTCTTTTTATTCTAAATAAACTTCATAACTATGGTGTTTGGGGGTCTTGGGTGCATTTCTGCCAGACTGATAGGCAATTTCCCCCTATATCAATTTGGTCCATGGTGTGTGTTTTTTGTGTGTGTGTAAATAGGTTTGAAAGAGAAAAGAAAGCTACCTTGGTCTCTGGGGAGGAACAGGTAAGCAGGATGCTCTCTCTCCTTCCCATCCTAAGGATTTGCCACAGAAAGCACTCTTGAGGTGAGTGTGGAGGCAGCCTATCTGAGAGCCCCTGGTGTGACTGGCCTACCCAGCTGGCAAGACCTATTCCTTACAAGAAGGCTGAAATGAAAGCCATGTAGGCTCTTAGGGGATGCTAGTGCTCCACACCCAGGCAGTATTGGCCACCTCTTATTTCATTCCCTTCCCCCCACCTGACCATCCCCAAGATGAACATATGTGGTTTAATCCTTCTCCATAAATCACCCCCCACCCAAACTCCTGGCAGAAACCAGCTTGTCTGCCCCATGTCTCCTTGGCACTGGGATGTACTGCTTGGATGGGGTGTGGCTGACGCCAGCTCTAATTTCAATTCCCCCTCCCCTTCCCCCTGCTCATAACTCGCCCTTTGCCACATATTGAGGTCTCAGCTTTCCAAAACCCAGCAGACAAGGGTGTTGGTAGGGGGTGGCCCATGGCTCCCAAGCCCCAGACCTTTTTGGAACTTAGAAGCTGCCTTTATACTGAATTAGGCCATTGGGCTAGATGATACTGAACTATCATCTAGCCCAGTATGGATGATCAGACACTTTCAGATGTAAAGTAGCAGCTTGCAAGTCTGCTGAAGTCCATATTAGACAATGCAATTAATTCCAAGAAACCAAGTCAAAGTCTCCCTTCATGTTGTCAGTACCGTGGTACCTCGGGTTACATACGTTTCAGGTTACATACGCTTCAGGTTACAGACTCTACTAACCCAGAAATAGTACCTCGGGTTAAGAACTTTGCTTCAGGATGAGAACAGAAATCGTGCTCTGGCGGCATGGCAGCAGCGGGAGGCCCCATTAGCTCAAGTGGTGCTTCAGGTTAAGAACAGTTTCAGGTTAAGAACGAACCTCTGGAACGAATTAAGTACTTAACCCGAGGTACCACTGTATGTTAAATTCTGTACTTGCAATTAAACTATTTTTCCTTTAGTCTGTAGGTCAGATTGGCCTCCATGGCCTGAACATTTGCAAAGGTTCTCATATAATTAAACAAATACAAGTGTGCCATCATCCAGAAGCTTATGCATGCAGAGCAATGGCGCTCAGTAACATCACAGACAGTTCTTATTCTGCCACTCAATCACCAGCCAACACTGTCATGCATAAATCATAGTGAGAGCTGCAGCAGATGCAAATTACCACCCATCAACAGTATCTCCCTTGCTTTAGTTACATCTCTTTTGCGTCTACAGGCTCCATTTATGAAAAATACAAGGGAACAAGATTGCTTGTAACTATATAAGGATGCATTTTATTCTAAAGCAAGCAATAAAAAACCCCATCCTTTCTTCAGCTCCCACGTCTTTAACTAGAACCCGAGCTGGCAGGTCTTCTGAAGGATCCATTTTGTTGTCAAAAGCCGTATTAAAAACAGTGTCAGTACACTATCTGGTCATTCAGCCCTATAATTCCTTATTAGGGGGCCTTGTGTTTTGGAGGCTAGAAGTGGGAAGGAGAGGAGAGGAAGGGTTAGGAAGGGAGCAAGAAGAGGTCAAGGCTGGAAGAAGGCTGTGCAGGAGGAGGCAGGCATCATGGATGAATGGGAAGGAGGAGGGGAGAGGGAGGGGGGAACGGTGGTTGCTTTGGAGCCTGTGCTTTGTTTTCTTCTCCATCCCCATTATTTCCACCTCCCGCACAGCATTGGGATGAGACAATCCCCATCTGGAAATACCTTCCCTTTTACAGTCAGGCAAGAAGGCGCAGGCTGCAGCAGTGGGATGAGCCCCAGACTTGCCCTCTCCTTGGAGGTGCTCCATTTGTGAGGGAGTGGAGGAAGGGAGATTCAGGATGTGAGGAGGCACTGGCAGTCGCAGAGAGGGTCATTGCCTCCAGGGCCACAGCTCCAGGGATGGGGGAAGAATGTGAACCATGCTACCAAGGTCAGGCTGATGCACAGCAGCTTCACTCTAGACTGCTCCCCTCCTTGTGAAAATGGCAGCTTGCAAGACAGAAATGATGGCTGCTCCACCATTGACTGTTCCACTATTACAGTCCGTTCCCTTTCCCTCTCACTTCTGATTGCTGGTTTTATTGGGCAGGGCAGCATGCTTATCCACTTCCTCTGGTCCCGCTGCTTTTCCCTAGGGAAATCTGCTCTTTGGTGCTCAATTGGAGCAAATGGCAATTGTATCAGCTTGTGATTATTCCATAGTTAATGTGACAGAGATAATCGAGGTGCTTCATGGAGAACCTAGTGCCACTCCACATTCTGTTATTTAACATGGGCATTCACTTCTGTACTTACAAAGCGAGAATGAATACTCAGCATCTCTTAACATTAGAGGCATAAGAAAGCTGTGTTGAGCAATCTGGTGTATGTACTCTTTCTTAAGAGCATGGGGGCCTTGCTGGATCAAGCCAAAGGGAACCTCATCTAATTTTCTTTCCAAGAATCCCAGCAACCAGAAATCGAGCAGTGGATCAAGCTCTACCTTTTGCTTAACCCTGGTCCACCATACTTCTTGCAGCATAGGATGTGGGCTGTGGCTGGCCTTCCTAATCTGTTTCCATCCACTCCCTAAAGACATGCAAAGGGCTTCTCCATCCCAGGCATCCCCTCTCCAATTGCAAGTATTTGGATTCTCATGAGCTTCCTGCTGTGCCAAGTACTGGAATGCACTGTGATGTCATTGAGGGGAGGAGGAGTGTAACACAAAGGTAGAACTGAGTTTGGAAAGACAATGAAATATTATGCTGTCACTTGGGTAAAGGAGGCTGATCACCCAGAAAGGAAATCAGGGCCCCTACAGTGGTTCAGAATATTGCAGGGGTAGCATTGCACTGTGTGGAAACCTGAACCACACAGTTGGATCCTTGTCCATTGATGTCAGATGATTGTAGGTTTTGTGGGTATGTAAGGAACTGCTTTTCAAGTGTATGTGTGAAACACACATATTATACACACATATTTTAGTGTTACAGTGGTACCTCGGGATGCGAACAGGATCCGTTCCGGAGCTCCGTTCGCATCCCGAACAGAACGTAAGATGCGACAGCGCATCTGTGCATGCACGGGTTGCGTTTTGCCACTTCCGCACATGCGCATGATGTCATTTTATATATTTCTCACACGCGCCGTTACTTCCAGGTCGCCGCGGAGCGCAACCCAAAAGCGCTCAACCTGAAGCGTATTTATCTCGAGGTATGACTGTATTCTGACTCTTCATGCTTCTCTCTCATATGAATTTCTTTGCATGTTTAACTTTGGGCTTGTCCACATTGCCACTTGTCCTGTGCCTAGAAAGCGTGGGTCCAAGCGGTTATTGTGTCAAGCAAATATTCTCCTCTATTTTTTCTAGTGCATTTCCCCATCACTTTCCTTATCGTAAAAAGTCCAGTCTTATGGGAGGGTAAAACAGGTTTGTTGAGCAAAAGCACCAAATCAGCTTTAATGACACAACCTGAATCAGCTGGCATGTGATTGCATCTCACCTGAAAATGGCAATACCATATATTCCAGTAGTTCTCATAACCTGTTCACCCCTGACTGTGCATTGAGAGATATGAATAGATGCTAGGAGGGGGTTTATTTATTAGATATCCTTCCTTCCTCACATTTGTGAGTTCAGCAGAGTGCCATCCCTTTTGCAGCTTAAAAGGGAAGCTTAGATAGGCTAGTTTTAGACATTTAGCTTAAGTAATTTAAGATGTTTTAAAGCAGACTGTATTCTCCTGGTATTTCCCCATTTTCTCCCCCTTATAGCAATAACCACATAGTCTTGTAAAAGGTAAAATAATATTTGCTCACTCAGAATACTTGCTGAAGAGTAACACATACAGCAGCTTTGTTCAGTTAGGCTTAAAATGGTAATTCAGTTATAATGAATACTTAAGTCTTGCTTCAGATGGAGTCTGAGCGTTGGAGCTCAGCAGATGTTCTCACATTTCTGGCAGAGGGGAAAAAGATGGAAAGAGAGGAAGAGGGTGTGCCCAGGCAGGTAGGAAAATAAACAGCTTCCCCTGTCAGGGCACAGTGGGAATGTCTCTCACAGAGTTCTCTCTAGCAAGTTTACAGGAAAACCTTGTGAGCTTCAGTTCCTGTCTTGTGCCTATCTAGCAAAAACATGAATTGTTGGCTTGACTGCATTTTAAATACCAGTTGAAAATTGCTGAGGGTCATTAAGTAGTCTACTAACTTTTTATTAATTCAGCAGTGGCATTGAAATCATCATCTTCAGAACCATGGCATCACAGGCCTATAGGTCAGGGCCTTGTTAGCAAGGAAGGGGACATGACAGAGGTGCATTAAATTATGCACAGTGTGAAGTTTCCCTATTCCTCAGGTCACTTTAAAGGGGGATTGGCCAAATTCATGGAGGATAAAGCTATCAATCACTGTTTCACCATTCTGGCAATATTCTACCACCAAGATCAGAGGCATTGTGCCTCTAGATATGAGTCACATGGGAGAAGGCTATTGGGCTTATGTCCTCTTTGTGGATTTCCCATAAGCATCTGGTTAGCCATTGTAGGAAACAGGATGCTAGACTAGATTAGGGCTTTGGCCTGGCCCAGCAGGACTCTTCTAATACTCTTATGTCCGCAAGGGCAGAAAGGGTTAATTTCACTTTCACCAGCCCCTCCTCTTCCCCCTGGCTCTGAATAGCACTCTGACAGGCAGGCAGCATAGCAGCAGGGCTATTTAGGTTTAGTGGCTGCCACCTGGGGAATGCAAAGGGGGAGGAGATTCAGGGAGCATAGGCTCTGACATCACTGGCTGGCTCCATTCTGGGCACATGGACAAACAGGGTGATTCACTGCAGGCTGGTATTATCTTGCAAGGAGGTTGCCAGTGACTCAGCCCTCAAAGTGGGAGGCGAAGGAGTACAGGCCAGGATACCCCAGTCTTGTTGGGCATATAGCTTGTTTTTGGTTTCATAATCTAAGCCCAGGAGATTGCGATGCCCTTTGGGTTTTTAGTTTTGGTTTAAAAATCTAAGCCTAGGAGACTGTAATTCCCTTTGGGTTTTGTATGAGGTGAGATGAAGGGCACTAGAAGCCTGTGGACATTACAGGCAGTGCTTTTTTTTCTGGGGGTACGCATACACCTAAAAATTCTGTGAATCTTTGTACTTTTGTCCATTTACTATTTATTTTTCCCGATTTGAACTATAAAACGGTGATTTTCTTGAGTCAAAATGAGAGTATCGCTAAACATTTTTAGGGAAAAAAGCAAACAGGCTTATTGACTCCCCTCACTCTCCACAGCTTGGAACTTGCCTGAGGAAATATATAAATACTAATCCCTGGCATGATAACTGGCTGCACTAAAACCCATAAGTAGGAAATGGTATCCAGAACCCATCTAGTCCATTAGCTAGGAATAAATATCAGGTTAAATATACTTCAACTACTCTGGGAAAGATTCCTTTTTGCCTCTTTTTGCAAGTTATTTGGCTTCATTCCAAGAACTTGCTTCTCTGCCAAAACCTTTAGGGTTGTGTGTGTCTGTGTGTGGTTTTGTACTGAATGTTTGTTTTGTTATGTTTCTCATTGTGGTGGGATTTCAATGTCCTAATATAGCGTTTGCTTCTTTCCCCCTATTCCCAAACCATGGTCCTGGCATAGCTGTTTACATATCCGAAAGTTTTCCCCCCGTCATCAAGCCTGACCTGTTCTTTCAGTGATCTCACATCCCCTTTCACTTTCCAAAGCTGGTACTTTCCACTTCACCCCCTCCTTCACAGTATCCCTTGACCATCGTCCTCAGGGCCCACGGGCATGATCTGGGCCCACTCCCAGCTGAGGCCTAGCCGTTGCCTAGCAGAACGGAACTGTTGCATCCCATGACTGGCTTGTTCCCGCCCCACAAGAGATTTCTCACTGACAAGAGGAATCCACAGCTGTTCCAAAATGGGAGCTGGAGGAGGGCAAGGGGGAAACGGGGAGGGAACAGTGGGATGATGTCAACACTCAGGGATACAAATAGCCAGAGCTCAGATCCCCGTCCCGACTCTGACTTGCTCACCCAGAGCAGCTGTTCTCTCTCTGCCTCCGTCCTGTCCAGCCACCACCATGAGCCAATCCTACTCTTCCAGCCAGAGACTCTCTTCATACCGCCGCACCTTTGGTGCTGGCTCAGCCTCACCTTCCTTCCCGCGCGCCTCCTTCGGTAGCAAGGGCTCTTCTTCCAGCTCTGTCTCCTCTCGGGTCTACCAAGTGTCCCGCAGCGCTGCGCCACCCAGCCTGTCCAGCTTCCGAGCCAGCTACTCGGCCCCACTGCGCTCAGCCTACCAGGGGGCCGGCGAGCTCCTCGACTTCTCCCTGGCCGATGCCATGAACCAGGAGTTCCTGCAGACACGCACCAATGAGAAGGTGGAGCTGCAGGAGCTCAACGACCGCTTCGCCAACTACATTGAGAAGGTGCGTTACCTGGAGCAGCAGAATGCGCTCATGGTGGCCGAAGTCAACCGGCTCAAGGGCAAGGAACCCACGAGGGTGGCCGAGATCTACGAAGAGGAGCTGCGGGAGCTGAGGCGCCAGGTGGAGATGCTGACCAACCAGAGAGCACGTGTTGATGTGGAGAGGGACAATCTGCTGGATGACCTCCAGAAGCTGAAGCAGAGGTGAGATTAAGGTGCCAGCAGCCCTTGCTGCCATGGGCTGGTTGCTAAGCTCATCCCCTCCCCATGCTTGCTTGAGTAGCTGGGGCTCTTTCCTTGTCCTGAGCAAGAGGCCTTCCTTGACCAGAAGCAGAGTGAACAGGGCAAGGCAGGGCATATTCACTTTGCGGTTGTCATCATCTCCCATCCCTGGCCTTTCAAAAAGAAATACAGAGGCTGGGCTACCTTTTGCCACCCTTGACCAGGGCCTTGGCCAGTGAGAGTGCCTTGCCTATGCACTGGGCATCCTTCACCCTGATGCTGTCCTTTTCTCCATACTACCCTACTCTGGCCCAAACTGCCATGAACACTCACCCCAGTCCTTGCCCAAGACTGCAATCCCTTTCGTGGAAGGTATCTAGGTGTTCTCCTTCTTTGTAGAAAGTTGATCTTAAAGGCCTTGACACCCGAAGGCTTCTAGATAACTGATGCCCCAGGACTGTGCTATATCTCAGACAAGTGGGTCATTTTCCCAAGGCACAGCAAAAAGAAGCATCTCTTCCCCATATAGGCTCCAAGACCCCATGCCAAGTTGCTTATTCTTAGAACAGGGTTCAGGGTGTGTCCAGTGATGGTCCAGACTCCTCTGCCGCACCAGACCTGCCTCTCACTTTTAAGCTTCTTTTAAATCTTTATAAACATAAGAAGCCCAGATGGTTTGGTAAAACATAGACATTTGTTGTAAAGAGGCACAATCAGGTTTAAGTGCAACTATTTCTGTCTAAGATGAAAGGGTCTTCAGAAATGTTTACACTAGTTTAGAGAGTTGTATATTTTAAAGACACAGTGTGCTGATGAGACTGTGCCATCTGTCCCCAAGCAAAGAAACCCCACCACTGCTTTTATTGAGCTAAGGGGACTAAATTGTGTTCGTTAAACACTCTTGTTTTGATTTGGAAGATGTGGATAACTGAGCACATGTATGCCTGTACCAGATGCACACACATGCAGGTGGTGTTTAATGCTTCAGTATTAGACACTGAGGTTTGTTCTCTCATGAGAATAAATCTTGCCTGAATTCCCACCAAAAGTGACTGTTATGCCCTCACTATTTGAGACGAAAACCATTTGACACTTGGCCTGCAAATAGCTGCTTACACTTCTTATCAGATCACCTCTTGTCCTCTCTTTTGATAAGCTGAAGAGACTGAGCACCTTACTCCTAAGATTATCTCTCATTCCTAAGGTCACTCTTAAGCCTTTTCTCTGTCTGTTGCAAACTGTCCATTTACATCCCTGCTCCAGACAGGATCTACCAATCACAGGCCCATAAAATGGCCATAATAGTAGCCTACCTCAAACAATTGGTGTAAGGACTAATTGAAATAAGAAAACATTGTAACCTTTACCCTGGTCCTTAGGAATAGGGTAGGCTTTAAAAATAACCAGCTCCAAGCTACATGCCCCAAACATGTGCACAAATATTTGTGGGATGGTCATAAGATCTTGTTTCCAGATTTTGCTCTCGTCCTTCAATTATTATGCTGAAGAGCTGCAGCAGGTACAGTGGTGAAGATGCTAACTTACCCAGCACATCATTAATTGTCTAAGCCAGGTTTGGAAAACCTGTAGCCCCCCCAGATGAGTTTTTTCTTTCATACAATTGTAGAGTTGGAAGGTACCACAAGGGTCATCTAGTCCAATCCCCTGCAAGAGAGGGATTTTTTGCCCCACATGGGGCTTGAACCCACAACCCTGAGGTTAAGAATCTCATGTTGTAGACTCTGAGCTATAAGGGTTGTTGGACTCCAGTTCTCAAGAGTGATGGGAGAATTCCAACAACATCCAGAGGACCTGGTTTATTTCCTTCTCAGCAACCTCTCTCCTAGCTCTTCAGCGGCAAAGCATTACAGTGGTACCTCGGGTTAAGTACTTAATTCATTCCGGAGAACGATTCGTTCCGTTCTTAACCTGAAACTGTTCTTAACCTGAAGCACCACTTTAGCTAATGGGGCCTCCTGCTGCTGCCGCGCCGCCAGAGCACAATTTCTGTTCTCATCTTGAAGCAAAGTTCTTAACCTGAAGCACTATTTCTGGGTTAGCAGAGTCTGTAACCTGCAGCGTATATAACCTGAAGCGTATGTAACCCGAGGTGCCACTGTACTTGTTATTGGGAAGGGCACCTTTCCCTGCAGCTCATCCTACTTATTTGGCCTAGTTCCCATCTGTACCAGCCCCCAATACCAAGGGTTGGCTATGCAAGTACAGCAGCAGCTGCCCCTGGTGGGACTTCCACATTTTCTCCTGAGGGAAGCTCCATGCCAGCATTCACCAACACCTTTCAGATGTTTGGACTACAATTCCCATCTGCCCCAGGGAGGGCAGTCATGCTGGCTGTGCCTGATAGGAGTTGTAGTTCAAAAATTCTGCTGAGGGTTGCCCGTTTTAATTCAAAACCTCTGGTAAAGGTTGCACTATATCTTTAGCAGATACATAGGACACAAGAAATCCAGCTGTTTCGGTGGAGAGATGCAATCACCGAGAAAGCCAGACTTGCTCAGTTTCTGCCTGCCATGCCGGTTTTACACTGTTGCACCCACAAACCATAAATTCCAGAAGCATATAGATCACTAGGTACAGGACTTCTGAGCATGAGTCAAAATGAAGAATAATAAAGTCAACTTCAGGCCTGCAAGTGAGTCACAAGCAGCACCAAACAGTGAAACAAGGACTGCCCCCCCCTCCATTAAAGCAGCCTTCTCGGTAGCAATGGATTCTGGGTAATACTGGGTAATAATTCAGGGCCTGGGGTGAGAAAGTTTAAACAGCCTCTTAGAAATGTAGGCCCTTGAGAGGGAAGCATCTTAGTACTGTATCTTCTTTTCATGAAGGATGAGGCCTAGTCCCCCGAAACCATGGCCAGCTTGAGGGAATCGGACACTCTAGATTTTCTCCTCCTGATTTAGCTCCCTTATGACAGACAGGGCACAACTGGGCACTGCCGGAAACAGGGAATGCTGAGCCATCAAGGCTGGGCACGTTGACAGGAAATCCTGGCATTTCAGAAGGATAAAGAAAGGAGAAATTATGATAGAGGGTCCCGGGGAGCAAAGACCTCTCCCAGGCCACACTGGGGGAAGTTTGCATAACAAAGCTACGCCTGCTGAACTGCCCTCTTCTGCGCAACTTTGAAAGTTGCAAGAGCCCTACTCGTTTTGGTGCCCCGGTTGTGGTCACAGCCACACGTATTTAGAGCACACTTATACCACTTTCATGGCTTCCCCCAAGGAATCCTGGGAACTGTAGTCTGTCAAGGGTGCTGGGAACTGCACCTCTGTGAGGAGGTCTCTTAATAACTCTCAGCACCCTTAGCAAACTACAGTTGGGGGAAGCCAGACCTGCTAAAGTAGTATGAGAGTGCTTTAAATGTATGGTGCAGGCGTGGACTGTGATGGAGCACTTTTGCAGTGAACTGTGAACTCCATGGCCCTTTGTAACCACAGGGAAGAAGCTGGTCCCTCTGCTTGAGGGTTAAATGCTCTAACAGAGCGCCCACCCTAGTTGGAAGTATAGTAAATCAGCCACATTAGGATAGTCTACCAAGAGTACTACACAAACACTGATGCTGTAGTAGTCATAGGTAGCTTTTTCCAGGATGTCAGAAGCTTGGAACAGTCTGGGGCCAGGGCCTTGCAGCCACCACTGTAGAGTATCTGGGGGCTTGGTGTGTGGAGTTCAATAGTAAAGGGGTCAGTATTTGCTAGAAACTGGATCACAGTGCTGTCTGTGATCAGTTTCAGATGCCCACAGCCGGCCCTTAGTGTCCAAATCCCCCCCCCAGGTGATGTCACGCATCTTCCATGTCAAAAAGCCTGGAAGACCATCCCTGGCTTTCTGGCACCTCAATGGCATTCCACCTGTCCCCATATCTTTATAGCTCGTGCCATGCCTTTGCCATTTCCCAGTACCCCAAGCTGGGGGTCCACATTATTCCCTGGAATCCCAGTCTGGAGACCCCTCCCCTCTCAGCACTTGTTCCATGATTCTTCTTTGCAGTCTCTGCCCTGTCCCATGCTCCAGGCCCGCCTCTGTGCAGCCAAGCACTGCTACCCTAAAAGGGAAGGGGGAGTGAGCATTATCCACAAGTGAGCTCATGCCTTTTGTGCCTGGGCCTTTGACT